GGTTCACTTTGACATCATACATGACGTTCCCGTGTTTCTTTGTGATTTCACCCTCGACCCATCTATCACATCCGTGTCTATAGTCTCGCGCATACACTTTTGTACCAACATCGTAGGGAATTCGAGTATTCTTCATCTGCGGGTTTTGTTGCGCCACTTGCTTAGGTTTCATCGCAAAATGAACTGTCCGTAGCTTTCGCCCCATAAGCATCTCAGCAGGGGATTTGGAGTTTGGCAATAAGTCATGCGGGGTCGTCCGGTACGCAACTAGGAATCGTTCTATGATATCTTCTGTGGTCCCCTCCCCTCGTGATTTAAGCATAGCTCGCTTAAACGTATCAACGAACCTTTCAGCTTGTCCATTAGATTGCGGGTGATATGGCGGAGAACGGACATGGTTTATCGAGTTTTGCAGGCAAAATTCTCGGAATTGGCTAGATGTGAATTGCGAACCATTGTCTGTTACTATTGTTTCTGGAAGACCATGCTGAGCGAAGATCCGATTAAGGAGTTTGATAGTTCGAGTTGTAGATGGTGGCGCAATTGGCAATATCTCCGGCCATTTGGAGTAGGAGTCAACCAGTATCAGATATGTGGTACCATCTAGGGGTCCGATGAAGTCAATATGCACTCGCGACCAGGGTTTTTCTGACTTTGGCCAGGGTACTGGAGGCAACTTAGGAGGATTTTTCGCAGCTTTTTGACAATGCGAGCATCTTTTGACGAAGTCGACAATCTGCTTGTCCATATTCGGCCAATATGCATAACTGCGAGCGATGGATTTCATACGGTTTATCCCTGGGTGTCCCGAGTGGAATTGGTGTAGGATCTTGGAACGTAGGGTTGTTGGAATTAATACGCGATCACCGAACATCAGACAATCGTTAACAATACAGAGAGCACTGCGACGATTCGCTAGCTGTTGCATATCACCACTCAGCTGCTTAACTGGCCATCTACTCAGAACATAGGTGATCGCTTTTTGGATAATCGGGTCCTCTCTGGTAGCTTCCCGAACATCTTCAGCGGTAACAGGCATTGCTCGAATGGCATTCGCTAATACAGTAGCACCGGAATCCTCTTCGGTTGATACTATGGCTATGAGTGTGTCCTCATCAGTAGTAGAATGGTTCCTGATAAGTCTGGACAGTGCATCAGCTTGACCAAAATCTTCGGAACGTCGATACTGGATGTCGAAGTCGTACCCCAATAACGCCAACGCCCAACGTTGAAGACGATTAGCAGAATGGGCAGGAATGCCTTTCTTTGATCCAAAGATTGATAACAAGGGCTTGTGGTCTGTGAGCAAGGTGAAACGGCGTCCGTAAATGAATTTGTGGAATCGCCGGACAGCAAAAATTAGGGCTAACGCTTCCTTCTCTATCTGACGTAGCGTTTTTCAGCAGGTGTTAGTGTTCTCGAAGCATGCATCACCGCTTTCTCTGACCCATCGGGAAAGACATGTGAGAGTACGGCACCCAGTCCATGTGTTGAAGCGTCAGCAGCAACCACAATGGGTAGTTTCGGATTGTAGTGGGTTAGCAGAAGATTGGAACTTAACATGGCTTTAAGTTTTGAAAAGGCTGACTCACATTGCGTTGACCAATTCCAAGTAGCATTCTTTTCTAGCAGACGATTCAGTGGATATCGTACGTCATGCAGTGATGGAAGAAATGCTGAATAGTAGCTAATCATTCCCAAAAATGATCGCAGTGAGGAGACATCAGTGGGAGCAGGCATTTGTTGGATTGCGTAAGTATTTTGAGGATCAGGATGTCGTCCGGAAGCATCAAAGATAAACCCCAGGTACTTAACGAAACGTAAGAAGAAATGGCATTTTTCTGGGCGAAGGCGAAAACCATTATCCTGGAGGCGTTGCAGAACTAAGTGAGTTCTGGTATTCAATTCATCAGCAGTTGCGCCGACAATGAGGACATCGTCAAGGTACGTAACAACACCAGGAACATCTGCTAGAATAGTGTCCATGATCTGCTGGAAGATCGCCGGAGCAGTTTTGATACCAAAGGGTAACCGGGTATACTGAAAAAGTCCTCGGTGAGTGTTGATTGTCAACAACTCTCTGAATTCTAGAGCGACTGGAATTTGAAGGTAAGCATCTGCCAGATCCAGCTTAGCAAAATAGGTACCACCATTTAAAATAGTAAATAAGTCATCTGGGATCGGCAGCGGGTAGTGATGCTGTTGTAGAGCCGCGTTGAGTCCTGTGGAAAAGTCTGCACAGATGCGTACGGAACCATTAGATTTTTTTACAACCACAATTGGTGCAGCCCAAGATGAATAAGAAACAGGTACCAGAACACCCTCAGTTTCTAAACGTTGAAGTTCAGCGTCAACCAGAGGTAAAGATGCGTATGGGACTGGACGCTTTGGGCGAAAAACTGGCGTCGCTTCTGGCTGCAGTCTTAAAACAGCTTCAGTTGTGGTACAAAGTCCAAGACCAGGCTGAAATAGTTCAATAAATCTTTTTCGAAGGTCTTCAGCATGCTGTTGTGTCGATGCAGTAGTTTGGACTTGATTGCAGATAGCGTTAATAGGAAGATCAGCGAGACCAAGTTCTTCGAACCAATCTAAACCTAAAAGATTGAGCGGGGAATTGGTGATGTAGCATGTCCCATTGAAGGTTGTACCTCTGAATGAAATGCAGCAACAAAGTTCACCATGAAGGCGGAGATGACCCCCACAGGCACTGACGGCTGTCTGAGAGGATGGTTTGATGGGAGGTTGACCCAAGGTTCGCCAAGTCTTTTTCGACAGAATGGTGATATCTGATGCAGTGTCCAACTGCAAACGAACTGGCTGACCATTGATTGAGAGGGTCAGAAATTTGCGTCGAGTCGCGGCATGAGTATGGAAGACTGCTGCTAAACTCCTTGATGAGGTGATCGGCTTTTTGTGAAAACGACGCTGCGTCTGTGCATTTCGACGGTTATTGGATCGGTTGGATTTGCAAAAGCCGCTTTTGTGACCAACTTTCTGACAGCGATCGCACACATGCTGTTTGAATGGACAAAACTGCACATAATGCCAGGCTCCACAGTGCCAGCATGGAGAGGGGGGCTTCTTCTGAGCCGGTTTAGAGTGATTAGAGACAGAAACAGCGCTGGCGTTCGAAAGACTCGAGGTCGTCGATCTCGAAGATTTTCTTTGGTGCTGAACAGCATGAACTTCGGAACCACCCTGGCCACCAGATTGAACCAAAGTGGTGTCACGCTGCAGATTGATGATGCGCTGGTACTCGTCTATGATCGCATTAAGTGTCAGTGTTGGATCTTGTTCAAGGCGGTTAAGCAAACGAGTTCTGATGTCGGAGAATTTGGGTGACTGAAGACTGCATATGAGTATTAGGGACTTGAATTGGTCTTCAGTGAGGGATCTGAGCTTGAATCGTTCGCACTCACGGTTAACAACGCCGACGTGGGTCAGGAAGTCATCGGACTCATTCATGATCAGTTTTAAGCAGCGATATCGAGTACTGAAGAGTGAGTGATGATCACCAAAAAGTTGGCTAAGGGACTGAATAGTGGCGTCGAATGAACGGTCGCGTGGGTTCTGCGGTAGAATAAAGTTGCAATACTTATCCAGCTCTGATGGACCAAGTTTACGAAGCAGGAGACGCACCTTCCACGCATCATCTCTGTCAGCAAAGTCAACTTTGAAAAGGTCTTCATAACGTCTGAACCAGGTATCAAATGTAATGTTGGCATCAGGATCATAAAGGAATTCTGAAATACCACTGGTAATACCATCAACTGATTCAGGAATTGTCGATGTAGTTGGAACTCGAGAAGATATGTGCGTGTGAGCAATCATCTCCATCAGCTTCAACTGCTGTTCGAACAATTTTTCTAGTTTGGCTGGATCCATGGTTAATCACTAAATTCTTTGCTGAATCTCCGTCGCCAAATTATTGTGTATCGCGAGGTGACTACTCTAATTTCTACCGATTGACTAGCTTCAGATATCCCAGTTCGACCCCAATACTGTTCCCAATCTCCAATATATCAGAACACGAACCGTAGATGAGAAATTGTTTATGGGGTCAGGAGCCGAATAATGATTTACAAACAAATGCATATTTATACAGTTAGGATTACTATAAATATTGACCAACAGAAAGATAACACGTGAAATAATATTGACCAATGGGGAAATGACACGCGAAATAAATATTGATTAGTAGGGAAACGTCCAATAGGAAAATGACACCATTTAACGTTCAAGGGTAGCATTAGACTTAACCGGATAATTGTTTTTGGGATATTTTTCTGAATATCCCAACAGTAACACGTGGCCCAACCATCTCAGTCGACGAAAAGACGAACTGCTGTGCAGTATACTCGTCCCTTAATTGATAGACAGGTATCTCGCCTTCGCCATAGATGATGTAAGTTGGCAAAAGCCAAACGATCTTTCTGAATCTTTGCAGAGATTTGGTCAGACGTTAACCCATTAGGGCTTATCAGACTTCCGAGATAAGTGAAGTTGTCGACGCATTCGACTATTTCCATTTATTTATATCCCTAACTTGAATTTATACCAACAGAAAAAAACATGGAAGAAATAAAAATAGAAAATTGAACATATGTTCTGTCAAAATAATGTTTCTACCTACTAATCAACAACTTCTACTAACCTGCCAATTCAAATTGATAGTGACAGAGATTTACACGAAAGCTTTTATCCCTAAAAATATTTTAATTCATATCAGTATAGTGTTACAATGGATCATTGTGACTGAAATTTTAAATTAATACTTGTGGTGTAAACTCAGAGATTTCATTCATCCGGTCTAATTACTAAGCAACTCAAGACGTGGGACATATTCTTTGGTTCAAGTGACCACACCATATCAGCACAGCAAGTTGAAATTATGAATATGAACACCAGTTTAGTAGAAGTAATGGTATCAAGACGCAAAGAAAACTGTTGACTAATATATTTACTAAGTGTAGACTATATAAAGACAATTCTTAACATACCTTGTTTTAGCGGCACGAATGGCATCGCCATAAATTGGTGGTAGGGAAGAGAGATTCACTAACCATGAAGGTTTAGCTAAAGAAGCTGCTGGAGAAAACGAGTTTGCAGTATTCAGATATCCAACCTCCGGAAAATCAGCCAAATGCGATGGGTTCTCACACATTTGTTCAGTTGAAAATACACCAGAGATTTGATCTGAGAACTTACCACCACGATTAGGCTAGTTTTTTTATTAAAAAAAAAGCGCACACGAAAGATAAAATGGATTAGGATCAACCTAAAACGTGTGTGGCGGTTCGTGATGATGATTGTTATTTATTTATTTATTTCAACACATAGATAACGGTACAAAGAGGCACCAAATACATATGCGCCACACAAATCTCATCCGATATGTGTGAGGGCTGTGATACTGCCCGGGTGCCCAAACCGAAGCAGGTGGTTTTCTTAGGGGGCCACACCCCGAGCCTTCGACCTAAAGGTCTGATCCACAAGGCAGTGGAGCATCGTAAGGAGATCCAATCCCATGGAAGCCGGTGACCAACAATTGGTTCATTCGCCATTTGTTCCCGCAAGATACTGGAGCCCATGTGCACCATTGGTTTGGAATCCGGTTAAAGCGCCGGACATTCGCTTTTCGTCCTCTCATTTTCGTAAACAACACCCCCGCCACGAGAAGGCAGTGAGTAGGACTTCCCTGGCAGAGGCTATATACGCGTGGCCGTGTGAGAGTATTTCGAGAGGGAGAGCGGACTCTCCCCACTCTCGGCCGTACCAGGGCATTTGGGGGCGATGATTGATAATACGATGAATAATATCGAGTTACTTGTGGTGTAGGGGAGATGACCGTTTGCCGGCCAAAGGACGAGTACAGTGTGCAGCAGCTCGCTATTACTGCATGGCTGTGAAATGTGGCTTTAAAAAGAGGTTATTCACAGGATGTTAGTATTTATTCATATGCATCTTTGAAGTACTGCTTGTGTATGTTAGGAGCCCCCAAATGCCCTGGTACGGCCGAGAGTGGGGAGTCCGCTCTCCCTCTCGAAATACTCTCACACGGCCACGCGTATATAGCCTCTGCCAGGGAAGTCCTACTGACTGTCTTTTCGTGGCGGGGGTGTTGTTTACGAAAATGAAAGGACGAAAATCGAATGTCCGGCGCTTTAACCGGATTCCAAACCAATGGTGCACATGGGCTCCAGTATCTTGCGGGAACAAATGGCGAATGAACCAATTGTTGGTCACCGGCTTCCATGGGATTGGATCTCCTTACGATGCTCCACTGCCTTGTGGATCAGACCCTCAGGTCGAAGGCTTGGAGTGTGGCCCCCTAAGAAAACCACCTGCTTCGGTTTGGGCACCCGGGCAGTATCACAGCCCTCACACATATCGAATGAGATTTGTGTGCCGCATATGTATTTGGTGTCGCTTTGTACCATTATCTATGTGTTGAAATAAATAAAATAAATGTTAGGACCTCTGGGCGAATAACGTTATGGTAAGACGCAGGTTACCAAAAAAAAGTATGCTGAGTAAATCGGTCGAGTTGGCTAGGACATGTATTAACAAAGCCCAACCATCGCCTACTTCAACACAATGGTGGCTGGTGCATAAATAGTTTATAAGGAAGATATGAGAAGCCAAACCAAAACGTAGCATCAGTTCATGAAGTTACAAACTATTGCACTGACCCGTTTAGGTAGGTGCTAACTACTTGGTTGAGGTCCATGTGATTTTTGTAACCAACAGACTTTGGTTGACTTGGCTCAGAATAATCTACAATGCAGCAGATGGATTCACTTTTTGTGTTCCTTTACATACCAAGTTTCCATATTACATTATAACGTTTTAATCCATGGATCTAAATTTTTTAAGCCATACCTTTTATGCCTTTTCTATTGCCCCCAATACTGTTACTACCTATACCACTCTGGGTTTTCGATGTACTGTTTTGAAACTTGAACAAACGCATGTGACTAGTTCATTTACCAAATACACGTTCATGTAATCGGCTATGAGCCACATTGCTTTTTTGAATGCTAATAATAAAAAGCGGGTATCTAAACAGAATTAGATGAATTGGATTTTAATCATGTGACCAACTAGTCGGAAGCCTGGAGTTTTGACCATTAAACGCACTACCGGTAAGATTACATAGAAAATATAGCAGGAAACTGTACACAAATAATAATATCATCACTGAAAATAAAAACCAGTTGAAAATTGATTACACAGGGATAATGTCAGCCATTCAATAATATTTGAAATGCAAATTAAGATGTTAAGGTTCAGCATTAGGGAGATTACATAGTAAGTCAAAATAACAATGCACAAACGTGCATCAGCTTAATTCGCCAAGCCTCATACGGTAAAGATGAAGTTAACAAAATAAATAACAAATAAATCGAAATAATCGTTATACAAGGATATGGTTTGATAAGGGATGGGTTCGCAAAATGAAATTTAAAAAAATAATAGTTGAAAAATAGGTTACATACCTTAAAATCTATCTCAATAACACGAGTATATGCACCTTTTTAGTTGATAGGATCTAGACTATCTTATTATTGCATACCTTTCACTAATGGCTTATATATTTTGCCTCATAACCTCTTATTACAACCATTGGAAACATATTTACATTTCATTGTCTTTTCTCTACTTAACGTTGCCAATCCGGTGAAACAATCTTACATAGTGTGCGAGTAATCGATATGTCAGTGTTTTAATACCATAGTGAATAATGGATTAGTAACGATAACTAGAGAAAGGATTACTTGAAAATAACATGGAAATACATATATATATAGAATCTACAAACCGTATTGTGAATAGGAATGCAAGAGTGAGGAGCTACAGGTAGAGTCGTTTTGACCTTGGAAACAGATGAATTATTATCTAAAAAGATGTAGCGTATCGATCTGGGCATACCATCTTTGCTTGTGACGAAAGAATTGTCCAGTGCAAGCTTTTTAATATATTCATCAATATGAATTTCCTCTGTCTTTCGCGATAGCATTTGTAATCTTAACTTTGTACTTTCGAATCTCCTTCGCTGTTGTTCGAGTGATGGACCGCACGAGCTAGAACTAAGCAAATAAACAAGAAAGTTCGCTTACGTGGAAATATTTGATTTGCTAATCATTTTGATATCATTTATTCAGGTAGGTTACCAGCAACCTCGAAAAATACGGTCATGCAGATTTCACATGACACTGAAATAAATCACACCATTATGGCATCGATCCAGTGTTCAAGAAAATCGATCTGAAAAAGTGAAATCCAACTGAAACTGAGTAGATGTTAAACCATATTAAAAGACTACTTTGATGGTCACGAAAAAACACTTCAGTTATCCGTTTTTAGGAACCTACATTCATTAGTATGTAAATAGAACAATCAATTACATTGAATGAATAAAACAAATTCTCAGTAAACCACCAGACGATGTGTAATGAAATCGTTGGAGAAAGATTACATGAAAACCTATTGACAGGTCTAAGGGGGGAAAGGAAATAACTGTTACTTAGCTTACGCCATGTAGCCGGAATCACTAAAGCAGTAACTATAGGAAATATAAGACAAGTATTTGGTGTGAAGCTGAATGCAAAACATTTGGCAATGTTTACAAAATGAGGCCAGGAACTACAGTGAATATGTCAATTCTGCTTTCAGCAATATATTTGGTGTTGTTTTTGAAATTTTACTGGATTAAGTGCAATAAATTTACTTAAGGTGGTAGTGGATATTAGTGCTTATCAACATATATTACAGTCAAATGAATGAATGATTTCCCTTACTGCTACGGTATATATCAAGATTCGACAGAAGCACAACGAACTGTGGGCCGACGGTGACATATTAATGAAATGATCAACAAGATATCTCACTGTTCAGTATCGAAATTTCGATCCTAATTAGGATACTTAAGTATCGATATTCATCGAAATTCCTGAATCTGAAGTCGTTTCACAATAACCTGCAAAAACCATAGAAATTAAAATCTATAATGAGAAGTCTGTAACTTGTAGATTTTTATCTCATGAATAAAAAACGAAATAGGACATGGGCATACATTGAGCTATCGGTATAGTACTATACCGATCAAAATTTAAATTTCTCATTCAGCATACCTTTGAAAATTATTGGACGTATTATTAAACTATTCACAGAAAAAATCACGGTGAAAGAAAATCATCATGAATTATTTGGGTACAATCACATTTAAAAAGAACTAGTTATACACCGAAACAACAGACTATGACCTTGCGTCGAATATACCGGGTACTTAAATCCAATTTCTATAAGGTGAACATTTACATACTAAACGACATGTAACTATCATTACCAACGTAATCAGTTCGGATGATTCAAATACTTGAGAGCGTAATAGAATAAAATCAGCCTTAATGGACTTCTTTCTCTAGTAGCGAGCGATCAACTGTTTCAAATGGTTTTGGACGTAATAGAAAACATTTTCGCTCAATGGGCTTCCGTATCTAGTAGGACTCCTGAAAAGTCGCTCATATTGGCTCAGCCTGTAGCAAAATCCAACATTTGACTGCCGTTCAGAGGTAGAAGTTGTGTTTACAGTCCGTTCTGCTATGTTGTATCTCCAATTTCTGGGTGTTACCACTTAGGTTAGTATTGGGACTAAACTGAAATATATGTTTAAGGGGATATCCAGAAGTGTTAAGGATACTGTTAGCCATTAGAAGATCACCTCTAAGATGTTCATACTCTAATGGGTAAAGGTTAAGTGAATCGAGGCGCTCTTCAAAAGGCTTCAATTTGAGTCCTCGAACTGATTTCGTGGCTGACCGTTGAATACCCTCTGCAATGTCCTTATTCTTTTGGAGTGAGGGAGAAAATACTATGCTTCCGTACACTAAATGTGGACGAATAGAACCGTTGAAGATTATGCGGAAAGTTCTTCCATCGGACTGGCCGAAAATGCTCTTCAACAAGGTTTGCTCGAAAGGTATTTTTGTCATAGCGGAACACTTCAGATCGTGGGGTACCAGCACTCCTAAATCTGTTTCAACTACAGATACTTCCAGAGGGGAGTTTACTAAGTTGTGACTGTAGTCTGAATTATGTCTCAGATAGACTACTCTACACTTTTAAGTGTTAATGTTAAGTCCGTTGTCGTTTGCCAAACTTCGAAGTCGAATTAGATCCTCCTGAAGTGCCAGTTTATCCTCTGGGTTGCGTATATCTCTCCAAACTTTCACACCATCAGCAGAAAGTAATACTTCTGACGATATCTGTTGCGGAACATCGTTTATAAAAATCACGAAAAGAAGTGATTCTGGTGCCGGACACTGAGGCACCCCACTAAGACATTTCATGAACTGAGCGAAAATGAAGTTGACCATGACTTTAAAATGTCTATTTTTAGATATGAAGTAAGCCAGTCAATAAGAGGTGATTTGATACCCAATCCTTTGAGCTTATTGATAAGACATATACGGTTGAGCCTGCAGAAAGCTTTTGTGAAGTCAAGGTGAATACCGTCAATTTTGCCCTTGAGGTCAAGTATGGTTGTCCATCTGTCCACCGCAGTCAGCAGGTTGGCTATACAAAAGTGACCTTTTCTGGTCATGTAGATCGGTCGTGTAGATCGTCGCATATCAGAAACTCAATAATTTTCGATGGTATAGAGAGAAGTGCAACCGGTCGGTAGCTCGAAGGTTCGCTGAATCGACCTCTTTTGAAAATTGGTATGATGTGAATCAGGTTTCAGTTTTCTGGTAATATGCCTCGGCCTAAAGAATATGAGAACACCATTCTATGCGGAGTTTCCATGATTGAAGCTACTTCCTACAATAGAGCATAATGGACCATATCCGGATCAGGAAAAGCGTCCTTGTTTAAATGCTGCGGTTTCCGGTACATCTAGTCAGTGCTCAAGTTCACAACGAAAAGTCCTATGCAGTTGCTTACATCAATATAGTTAGTGTGGGTCGGTTTAAATGTTCAGGACTACTGTTTTGTTAGAAGGTCAACAGGGTTACCGTCGTTGTTTGTTGTGCCATTAGGACCTAGCAGTTGGGACACTCCACTTCTGGCTTGTCGAAGAGAGGCTTCATAACGGAACAAGCTTTTCGGATTGGAGACTAATTTATCAATAGGTTTAAAGCCCATTTTCTCTTATTGCCTTTTGCATATGTTCTTTATTTGTTTGAATTGCCTGTATGCGTCGCGATTATCAGTACGTTTGTATTACGCCTAGATGTGCTTAGCGAACGAAGAGTGCGATTCTTGTCGATTGCAGTTTGCTTATAGATTTTCGGTGCCGTTGGCTGAACGGACTACTTAAAAGCGTGTGCAATTAAAATTTCCAATGAGCATTCACATGAGGTTGGTGGTGAACTTCCCTGTCCACCTGCTGTAGATTGGCATGTCAAACTGACACTTCCAACCAGTAGGGTGTCTTTGACCAGTTTCGCAGATTAGATTGGAGGCTATGACGGCATGATCATTCTTACCCACGAGAGCCAAGATCGAGAGATTGTCAGTTAGGTATTGTTCGTTTGTAAATACCCAGTATAAGTGAGACGGCGTCTGACTGTATCTCTAATGAGTTGCCAAATTCACATTTTCGAACAATTCCAAATCTTCAATGAGGTTGAAAAACCAAGTTTCAGTAGTTTTCACCTTTAATGTACGTATGTTCCACGATATTGACTTTGGAAATATTAAAGTTTCCTATAATCAGGATATGAGTGAATCCGTTTGGAGTAGAGCTAGACAATCCTTCAAGCATACCACTGTCGTACCGGGGTGTCAGCAATGTTTTCCTTATTCGCTACTCAACCATGTGGAACAGACTGCCAGTGAACCTCCGCTGCAGTGAAACTACAACCCGGTTCAAAAGTCTCCTTGACGATTTTCTTTGCGAAAGTGGATTATGTTACCTATTGAATATCAATGTATTCAATAGCGATTTATACAAACAAGGTTCGTCATCTATTTAATTGCTTGAAAAGCAAAATAAAATCTTTAAATAATTTCACGTCTATTTTATTTTATTTTTATTTATCTTAATATATGAAGTCTGCTTATGTTCGTGTTTATCATTATTACCGTTATAAATATCATTATTAGTTCCCCGACAAATGAGGTATTCTTTTTATCTCTTCTTATCCTTCTAAACATATTTAACTCCAGAATGTCCTTTGAAATCAATTTTGACTTTCATGGCATCAATCTTAATTATTATTGCACAAATATTTATACTAATATCCGTTTTCATTCTGTATACTATTACATAAATCTAAATGTATTCATTCGAGTGCACTAAAAGATTTTTATTTTATTTTTTTTCAATTGCTGGTTTCCTTCTGAGGTTGATATTCATTACACAATTATTATTCTTATCATGGATGGGCGTTTTCACTAGGTGTTCACTTCTTTTCTTTCTCTTCTTTCCCTCTGAATAAATATTATTCTTAAGATTACGAAGTTTGTAATTAAAACAATAACTTGTGTTACACTTAAATTAACTTCTCAGATTCGTTTTATCTTCATTATGAATATATGACACATATATAGTGATATTTTATTATCCTTTTCACTTAATTGTGACTTTCATAGCATCACTCTAAACTATAACTGCACAAACATTTATTATTTCGTCCGCGAAAAAAACGTCTCGTGAGATTCCTTAGGAGTGTTTGTGATAAGAGTGAGCACAGAGTAAGGCATATCAGGAAGTATTTGTAAATTCACATCTGATTCAGTAAGTGACTAGCCAGTAGGACATCCTCCACATCGGCAGCGGAAGTGAGCGACTTAGGTGACTTCAATGCTTATAGTCCTCTCCCAAGTGAACCAAGTGACCGTCAGAGGCTCTATTTTATGAAGTTCGAGCATCCTGTTTAACTCTTCCCAAATTATTATTATTATGAAGACTGAGGGGAAGGTCAGGGGTGTCTTTAATGTTCATGATTATGAGAGAACCATCGCGAACCGTGATCGTTTCACCCAGTTTTCGGGAACGTTCAGGTTGAGGACCTTATTGTTTGGCAGTTGAAACTCATTTCAGACCCCTTATTGATTGATCAGACAGTTTTAGAAGTAGAATCTACGGCCAAATCACCAGTTGATTTCACCACAACACCTGGGATATTTCGCTTCTTAGGAGGTGGCACACGGTCATTTTTAACTTTTTTGACGGGGATTCAATCCCTTGCCTAGCTTTTGTGGACCACTGTTGCGTTCAGAGATCCTGTGCTAGGAGACTCATGTTTGATGAGAGAGTCTAGTACTGTTGATGTTTTGATGGTGCTGAGCTTCAGCATATCCTCACTAGTGTCAATTCATGTTATGTCGACACTAACGTCGTAAAGGTCTTTCTTCGTTTTACAGCGTGCACCTTTGTCTGCTTATGAGTTTTAAAACTACCATTTTTCAGGACTGATGACGACTTTTTCTGTAGACCTGTCACCATAATGATTATTCCGCTCACCAAATCCTCATTATTCATGAACCACGTCCCACATACCGACATACGATCAGATTTACTAGGTCTGTTATAGGTAGTTACAGTTAGCTCTGTGCATGTTATTGGAACTAACCATTGCGTTCATCATACCGCATGCCAGAGTTTACAGTACATCAGCATCCAGCTCGCTTGCACGAGGTTTTCATGACTATGGCGATGTGAATTGTTTAAAAGATTCTAGGAAAAGTCTACGACCGTAGAGCAAAAAATAGCAAACTAAAAAAGGATAAAATGGATAAAAACGGGTGTTAAAATTTTTTAAGATACATTAAAACTAGCCTTGATACGAAAAACGGAAAAATAGAATAGTAAACTGGGACAAAACTACAGTCAAATATTAACTTGTGTAAAACTCAAAAAGAAAAGTAGTCTATCATACGTTCAATTCAGGACATTCTTTGGAGCAAAAATGGCCCTTTAATTGAGTAAAGACTCAGCAACATTTTGATAAATAAAAATAACATTAAGACTAAACTTCCCGTTCGTGAATCGCATAGATGGTTGTCTGTATGTAAGGAATTTAGTGGTTAATAAATCCCTAAAATAAATAGTTCTATCAGTCTTCGACATCTGTTGCTGACCCTACTAGCTTTAATGGACACATCGAGCTGAAAACGCTCGGTCACGCATCTTCACCAGATTACGAGCGGGTACGCCGCGTTAAACATCTACAATCGTTAGTCAGCTTACCACAAACGCTTCTCGAGATATCATTATTCTCTTAAATATAAATTCGAACCTCTTCATATCTGACTTCTGATTTGACTGGA